TGGATCGGCCGCTGTCCATCTGCCGATCCGATGAAACAATGCCACGTTTTTATTTTTCGATTTACGAATATCGTCCATACTGTGCGTCATTTGTTTCATTGTGGGCAAAAGTGGGCAAAATTTGCGTAATGCGACTTAGCTGATGTCACGCGCTAACCGTTCATCGATCGTACGTTTCTCTTATTTGATGGAAGTTTCAGGTGAATCCTGGTCCGAATCCTGGTTGGATTTTTATATTTCGTTCTTACATTCTTGTTTAAACGAGCAAAACTACTTGTGATATTTTACGATAGATTTTAGCACACAGTTGAAATAAAATATCGTGCCTGTTCTTTCGTGGTTCCTACAATTCTAAACATTTTTTGAGAACAAAAAGAGCTATTAAATCGGAAATGCTTCAGAGAGCACATCGAGGTTACAGTTATCATCTGAACTTATGAATATACGAATAAATCATGATAAATGAATGTTATTGTTTGAAGAGAAACATGGATCGAAGGAAAGTTGCATGGTTCCAAGGGGAACATAACCAACAACCGCCACTGCGTTCTATAAATAAAATCTGTGAGTTCAGTAAATTATTTATAATTCTTTGGATCGATATAGCTACTTATGTAAAACTCTTTTGACTTTCGCAATGTTTTACGCCTACAGGAAATATGTCGTTAATATTTTGAAACAATGTGTTTTAATCTTTACTCCTCTCTCGTCAGAAACCCGAATAAAATAAAGAGAATCCATTCACGGCCGAAAAAACAGCGAAGAACAAATCTTACCTTTCGTATCGAATTTATCGTTGTCCGAATGAGATGATCTATAATTTCAAAGCTTTTTACGAGCTCGTAAAAACGTTGTCGAAACAAAGATCTACAATCGTCCTCGAAAGCGACACTTTTCCCTTGCCCGCCACAAATGATCCTTTTAGTGGATTTAACAAGTTTTATGATTTAGCAACTTTTACGAGCCTGTGATCAGGATGTATCGTGAAACTGCACGAGTTGATGCACCGTCATTCGAGTAAAAAGCACGCAATGAACGTCATGTACACTCTGACAATCAAGTTGATTAATCCGACTACGTATTCTCGTTCCATCAGTGAAATTAAGGCATTCCTTTGTACACGTTAAAAAAGCAGGACAAATTTAATTTTTTCGTAGGCGAATTTTTCGCCACGAATAATCTGTAATCGTTCTTACGATTTATACGCCTGTAATATACTACAATATATTTTTATAATTTATATCGTACAGTTTCCATGTCGTCGAAATTAGTATCGTAATAGTAGTGCAATCGTGTTTTTTAATATCTCCATAAACGTTCAAGTAATTACGCCGAATTGGAATTAACGAGGAAGGTTGTTTAAAAATTTTCTGGACGATCGATCGTGTTCAATATCGGATTTGTTTCGAAACGGTTATGGCGTGCCTTTACGAGCTCGATGGCAACCTGGGAACAAAAGTGAGGGAAGGATGCGTGACGGTGAAACAAGGGATGTCAGTGCTTCCTGACTACGAGAAGGAAGTCGGTAATTCGCAGCCAACACCGTAGAAAACGAATTTTACCCTGTAGATAAAATATTCACTATATGCCGCACGATCGATCCTACAATTTTGTTTAATGGGAATTCCACTTTTCAATGAAATGTTTTATTAGAAAGATTATAACGATCGTATCTAAAGACTAGATACGTTTATAATAATCTATTGTTATAGTTTACACAGACGTAAAATAAATGAAATTTCTGTTTATAATTATAGACATACCTAAATATAAATTAACATAGTTACGAAGATTAATTTAGTTGTTGTTGTTATTGGCGATTCCAAAAAAAGTTAAGCTTGGCATATTTTATTGCGACAGGAACAGTTATCAAGATGTTTACGACGTAGTAAGCATTATAATAAACGAAGCTCTTCCATTTTCAACAAAATTCAATTAACGTAAATCCTCAAAATGATAGAATTCGAAATTTCAGAAAGTTTTCCTGTAATGAATAAATAAGAAAAGTTGAATTCGTATGTTGGAATTTTATAGATCCTGGATGAAATTCACGTTATTTTATCATCGAACGTTTTATTTCTCAGGCGAACGAATTGAAATAGTTAATTGAATATCAAATTTAACTTTACGTGTCAAGCTAACACTATTTTATGCTTCCGTTTTTTTAAAAAATTCATATTGTTTTTAACGTTATTTAATATTCCTTCGAAAGTGCACATAGTATGCCACAGCGATTTTCCATACGCAATTTTGGAACAATATATTTTCGAAATGCGGATACAAAATGGGTTAACGGGATGACGCAATTCGATATGTAATTTGTAGCAATACTATTTGACAAGCGGAAACTAATGGCGATCCTGTATCTATAAATCGCGTTAATACCATGACATAATATAATCATTAAATTAATAACATTACCAGTTTGCATCAGCGGAAAACGGTTCGCTAATTTAATCCTTATTTTTTTGTTATCAATTCTAAAATGTTCGATTAAACAAGAGAATTTTATTTTATTTGGCTTTGCTTTCTTTGTTTGCCCTATTACAAATTCCACGCGCAATTAATTGGTAATTTTATTTATTAAATCGCTATATAATATAAATTGATCTAATGTAACTATTCCATTATTTTGTCCGATATACGTATAGTTGTTTATTAAAATTCCTAGATTTAATAAGATCCACTTGCTGGAGCTTGTGAAACGTTACACTAAATTTGGATAATGCAATAAACGTACGGACTCGTTCCAGAAACGAATGGTGTGTAGTTAAGAGGTAAAAACAGCAGCCAGAGTCGGTTGTAACATTCGTGCTCGACCGTGTTTTTAAACTTTCATTGCAAACTTTCACTGACGACGTACTTGAAGGTGCAAACCACGGCATATCACAGCCATAATTATGCAGGGAACGTTCATATTGCAATTTTATGTAGCATTATAAGAGAAAGGATGTTTATGATCTTGAAAACTTATTTTATTCGCTATTGCTATATTGTTCCTTACCTGCGAACAGTAATATACTGGATATAATTTATAGAGAAATACACACACGCATACACAGCCATAAATGAAATTTTCTGGCAATGCGAATGAAGCAAAGCAAAAGGAATTACGTGAAATTGCATTACACGTAAATAATTAAAAGGTAGAAGTGCAAACGTTTACAGAACGATAACTCGCTATAATACACCCTTCAGCTTTCCTTCTCGTATTCCGATAATAATTCCATCTCTTATTACTCTCCTGCCGAAGCGACATTTCTTTTCAAGAAAGAGACATGATTAAGAGAACTCGTCGTCACGGAAATGACGTCTTCAATCGAAGAAATTAATATCTTAAGTCGTCCGAGCTTTCGCTTCCTTCTGCTCGGTTCCTTTACTTTCTCGGGGACGGTTATGAAACTTCTGGTTGCGTATCAGTTCTCGAGACGATTGGTCTCGCGGCGACTGATACGATTTCAGGGCCCTTCACCTCGCTCGGTAATCGGATTAAAAACGACTAAACGATGGCAGGGCAGAGTGCGTGCAATATATAATTGCCGTAATCGGTTAAATTTCGCTTTACACAGCGTATCACTTTTTAAAGAGGCGACGCGGCAGCGTATAAACCGACACAGAACTAAATCGAGCGGGTGAACTTGCTCGTCTCGCACGCTTCTGCACACATACTCGCAACCTTTTAATGGAAAACACGTATTACGTCGCTAAAGTAGCACTGGCAGAAATCTTTTACGAGCACGTCCCTGATACGAGCTATTCGGTTCGCGCTAGTTTTTAGTGCGCCACCATTTTCTGCTTCGAGAACGAACGCGGAGATGAACAACGAAACCGTAGTAAATCCTGCGTCTTCCTCGTTTTCATTTGCTTCCATCGAGCCGTGTATCATCGACATTCGCGCTTCTTCGACGTTCGTTCAAGAACGATGTAATGGAAACACGTCGGTAAGAAAGTGACTGAAATGTACGACGTTCTTTCATTTCGACGAATCTTCGATACGATGAGAGACAATAAAAGTCGAAGTGCCTTTTGCCTGTCTCTGTGTAGTTACCGAGGCAAATTCATCTATTGCATAATACACACCGTGAAATCAAAATCGAAGGTTAACGATACTCGGATGAATCGCATCGTATGTTACAATTCTCAAAGTGGAAGGTACTTCATGTTATTCTTTCGGTAGTTCTCGTACGCAAGATTTATTTCCTATTGTTTGGTGTTATAACATAAAATCGTAATAATCTTGTCGTTATATTTGCGTATATTTTAAGTGTATCGCTGTACAAATGGTAAACTTTTTCATTGAGATCGGAATTACAGTTGCGTATGTTACATTTGGTTAATGGGATTGAACATTCCCGTTAAGATTCGATCTTTTTCTGCATGCTTCTCGTAAATTTATAAAACTCAGCATTATCTTATTGAAAAATGAAACCTTCGTAATTAGTCAATTCCGGCCATTTCTTGTTACTTCCTTTCAACATAGTTAGCTTTCTTCCCGATTCAGTCAGAAATAGATATTTTCAAGCTTCAGCCGATTTTTACTTACTTCTCGAAGCATCGCCCTCTTGATATTTCTCGAGATTCCCGGTGTTATCGGCAAACAGCCTTTGTTCCTTTCCAAGTAGCATGAACATTGCAGAAATTACGAACCGAGCTGAAACGTGGAAATGACATACAATTTTGTGAAAATAAAATCGTATTATATAGAAATGTTATTACAAAGAAAATTACACTTCTTGTTCGTTAAACGGAATCGATAGTTTGATTGTTTGTGTTAGATAGTTTATCATAAGAGCACACGCGCGATGATAATGCGAAAGAAACATATTTAAAAAGAGTTAGGAACATAATTTTGATTCGAGAACAACATTATAGTTGCATTCTTTTCCAATGAATTTTCCACTGAATTATTCTTTTATTTTTCTTTATAGGCTGCGTAATTTTTTGATCATTAAGTTAAAATTGTAACAGTTCTGGTACCATTGCCAAGTTTTTCTTCCTTATATTTCTATATCTTTCGGTAAACTTTCTTTTCTATTTTTCTCTACGTTTCTCGCGATATCGCGCGAGTCTGGTTACTTTCTCTAGTCCTTTTTCGGATTTTCTCGATCTGTGATTTTCTTTAACTTTCTCTCTGCGAACTTCTCTAGGAATTTTCAGTCTTCATTCTGCTGTTTCACTATTTTCAAGGTTTCTCCCTTGGCCCTTGCAGCTACCTCAGAAATGCACGTGTAACGTCCATGCTCGCACCAATATGAGCAGTTTCCGGGCTTTTCCCAATTTTCCTTCCCTGCTGTCTGTCTTATCTACTTTTTTCCCTTAAGTCTATTTAAAGTCTGCAATTTTTCGGTTACGAACCAGTCCTTACGTCACGATCGAATTTGTAGAAAATTGTTTTCCGACATTTTTCTTTTATATAAAATCAGTTCAAATGTATTTCCAAACGAGAAATTGGCTTGATTCGATTATATTAAATTAAATAACGATTCTTCTGCTTGCTCACACTCGTTACGTTTATTTTATTACCGATCAAAAGCTCAATTTCGTTATTGTTCAATTTAGTTTGGATATATTAATGGATTTAAAGAAATTAATATCATTATCGAATGAATGTTAAATTTTAATAAATAAATGTTGCATTAATATCCTCCGATATTCAGAAAATTAACATTATTGTATTTCTGCTGTACCTGTGTAAAATGTTTTTCCTAAAAATACGAAGTACGTTTTCATCGCTCCAATCCTCGGTATTAACTTATGCTTGAAAATGTAAATAAGCATATAAATTTTATCCGATTTATCTAGAAATAATGAAATTTGACTCAAAAATTACTTTCACCTGATAAAAATCATTTTTTTATACGTGAAGCTGTGATAGAAGTCTTAGTCACGTTAATTTATTTACACGGGATACTGTATATTTTTATTCAAAATAAAATTTATAAAATGACATAATGTGTTTACAAAGATGAGACTAACGATGTGTAATAGAAAATATAATATGGTTGACTGCCCGATATCGTTAACGGTGAGTCTGTTGTAAATTAATTCGTGATATTTCACTGGAAGGCACGAACGTTATTTGCGCAAAGACTAATACAGAGACGTCAGAATATTAATCGTACGAATCAAAGGACTGGAGAGACACTAATAGCTCGTGAAGTCCATGATTACTATATAATTAGTACTGCAAATACGCCACATTTCATCAAAGGATTATTAAAACGAAATGCTGTCTTTCTTGGTTCTTTAAAAATTTGAATATATCAATTGCAGTGACAAATACTTGATGTTAATTAGAATATTTGATATATTAAGTTGCCAAAAAATTTTCTTTCGTTTTACAAGAAAATCATAGATACACAACATTTTCTGTCTTATATCATTTTATTGAATTATGTGTAATGTATTCAGTTCTATTACTACAAAATACATAATTCAATAAAATAACATAAAACAAAAAATATTGTTCATCTATCATTTCCTTATAGAACGAAAGAAACTTTTCGGACAAGCTAATATCAAAGAATTGGTTTCAATCACTGTATATCGTTTCGTTACTTGTACGCTTGATATATAAACGAAAAATCTGAATTTACAAAAAGCTGGATGTTTACAAAAATCTGAATTTACATAAAAATCCGCAGTCTACTCGTAACTGATAAAATGTCAAAATCTTTCGTATAACAAACATAATATCCTCGTAAAATGTGCCTATGGAAGTGTTCGAATACTTTCGCAAGTTTGTGTATTACGGAAATCATACAATGGAAAAAGATTCGACCAACACCATTATCGTTAAACAATCGTTGAACGACTTTTGATCGGCGCAAAGGTGAAAAAGGCGAAATCTATGCGCCATACGTTATGCGTATACGTAATGCGCTATATTCTATACGCTATGCGTATAAATTTCTGATGTAATATTCCAAAAATATTCTTTACGCTCGGAGATCCCCGAGGGGTATAAGCCTGGCGTAAAGCCAATCAGAGTAGGACTCTTCGTGAAGTTTTGCACGCTATGCCGTGATTTCGTGCCAACGATCCTACGGGGCTCTTAGGGAGAACTTTTTGAATTGTGGCACGTTAATCAGTTCCCCTTTTCTGCGCACTGCAACGTACTATACTTCCCTCGCTTTCTTCTCCTTTTTTTACGAACTAGATTTACCGGTGAATCGTGTAATTCTGATTATCGAAGAGGCAAAAAACACAGCAATTGGTGCTGTATGATGTAGCAAACGGTTCTATAAAATTGGACATTCGCATTAGAAGAATATAATCAGCAAGGAAGTGGTCCTTCGCGAAAGTCCTCCGATAAATTACATACGTTTTTACGTAGTTACAATATCCTCTCTTTCAAAAGTGTTTAATAATTCTCGAAAAGAATCCACGCGTAACGAAATATTAATGCATCGAATTCATTAAGATTAAAGGAATGCTGCAAACGCTGAATCATCGAAGGCATTAGCCTTTCGACTATCAAGGTCCGTACAAGATATACCGATGTCTCGTATTCTAAGACGGGATATGGACGTGCTATGGTCTTTGGAGATAAAATATACAAATTTAGATCACCTAACAACGTTAGCAATAAATCAGTAGACTTAATAGCGATCCAACAGGTATTCAAAATTGTTTTGTATAGATCGAACGAAAACTGCATTATTCTCACCGATAGCAAGGATGCTATCACATCCATCAAAAATGTATACAGTTCCGATGGTATCGTACTTGATTGGAAAATCACTCGGTAGGTAAAACAATTACTCTTTCGCGAATCCCACCACGTGTTGGACATCCCTGATAACGAACTGGTGAACAAGGCAGCAAAGAATGCATTTACCTTATCTTTAACAAGAGAACCTTGGAAAAATCCCTGAGAGTCAGCAAGAATCAAAGTTTTTCAAGAAACATCTCCAATTTAGCTGAAACAACGTATGAAAAAGCTCTACAACCTGGTGCACTGGGAATCAACGAAGAATTTGTTAACAAGAACGTAGTTACTTGCAGTAGTTAAGGACCAGGAACCTAGATCGTCAACACCAAGTTGTATTAAACAGACTTAGAATTGGTCACAGCTGACTCAGTGTGTCTCTAAGCGAAGATCTCCGTGACGAAATTCAAGTTTCAAGTGTTCTTTTACTTTCTGAAAAATATGTCCAAAGATATTTAGGAAAATTTAACTAGTAAATCTGCCTCTGCTCGCATTGTCATCGCTAATAACCACATAGGCGTAGTTGATACGACGTTAAAGCCTATGTAAAAAGAAAAGGAGATAAAATATCATATGTAATTAATGGATATTATATAAAAATTCAGTTCGGTAAGAATGTAAACATTCTAGCGTGTACAATTAATAATACGGTATCTGAAACGAGTAACGAGATATATGCTGTTTTTACGCGTTGCTCAATTTCAAGCGTTGACATGGAACGAACGGACCTTCGAACAAGAAAAAAAGTCATCTCCTACAACTGCAAGGAAGAAACAATTACGATACACGGAAAGATCAAACGAGAACCTTTCTTCTTATCGCTGACCATACATCATTCGAAACGGTTGAAACGGAACGATTCTTATCGGATCACGGTTCAAAAATCGCTTCGTTCATCATCCGATAGGAAACTTTTCCATCGTTCTTTTATCCGGATCCATTGTCTGATATTTTTCACTCGTTTCGACGATGCGCTGAGTTTGTATGCGGTATACAAGGGATTATCGTCAGGCTACGACAGTTCCGATACTTCGTGGAATTTCCTATCGATTTTCATACCGAATGCAGGAGAAACGAATCTTGTTTGCTACCCTTTGGACGGGAACAAAGCGTCCGCTGATACTATTAACAAAAGATACGTCTGCAACTCGCGGCAAACAAATCTGTATTCGATAGGGGAAGCTATCGAGTGTTATTAACTTTATTCTGAAGGTGCTTCCCAGGAATTTGATTCGACGTCGCTGTCCAATAATGATGCGAAGTTTTTTCCGTCTAATATTGCAAGTTAACAGAAACGTTATTTTATAAAAAATTGCCTCAGAATTATACGTTGGATTTACGTGTGGGGTACTGTGGGATTTCTCTCAGATATTTTCGTGCCTTCGTTATTTTTAATGAGACGATTAATAATTCTTTTTTTTTTTTAATGCTTTTTTATTCTTATATTACAATGTTCGTGTAAAATCGTCTCTGGAAAGTGTCAGGATTAATATTGCGATATATATAGTGACAAACTCATTTTACAGGGAGGTAGAAAGTAATCGAACACTTATCATAGAAAATTCTTCGAAATTTCATTAGTATCGTAACACGACTGCCACGATCGAAGTGGCGGTATTTTCGAAGTTAATCTGAAGATCTACATAAAAGTTACAAGATATTAGTGCAAGTATATATGTACATACATTAGTAAAAAATTGGTATGCAGCATAAATAGTTGCTTTACACTTGGAACATACACTTTATGATAAAGATACATAATTCCATGAAATATTGAAATTTATTAATATAACGAATAACTACCTATTTAAATAAAATAACCTAAGAAAGTGAATTTTTACGATAAATACCTTACAACAGCTATGTATATTTGTTTCAAACCTCGCCAACATCATCGTGATAATTGTTCATATCGTATATCATGCAAAAGCTTCTATGATCTATACGTGTTCAAACGCTTTTGCGAGCCACTGCGTGTCAATGCAATAAATTGTAGCAGGAAATTTCTGTTTCCTGACCTACAGAAAAAATTGAGAACAAAGCTGATGCACGCTATGCAGAACAAAGCGATATGTCGAGATTCGAATTCTGGTTGGAGAGAAGGGCTGTTTTCATCTTTCACTATGAATCGCTTTGTGTGTAAATTCAGCGGGGGTGGTTATAACGGTTGACGATCGACGACGGCTCTTTGGGTTTCACGGAACAACACGTTCTTTGACAACGCGGCAATGTCACTGAGCATAGTAAATGTTTCTCGAGAATTTAATTCTCCAACGCTTGGATATTCGATGACTCCGTTCTTTTGAGTACGTCCCTTTTTGTTATCATTTTATTTCCCTTTGTTTCTTGCTTTACCCTCTGATTTTCGCGATTTGTGACACGCTATATAAATTGGACGTATAAACGTAGCTGTGAAGTTACGTAAAACTACGGAAATAATTTAATAATAGAAATTTAGCAGGTTTCTTCGTTCAAGTTCAACATTTTCATTTGGTAAGTGAAATTATTTTTAATGCGTTTAGAGTAACTTAAGTAGTTCGGATCGAATTAAAACATTTGCCACAATGTCTTTATTAAGAAATTTCAGGGAACTTTAATGTAATATCTTTCGTAGATGTTAAAGTTTGATTCCATAGCAGAAAATGTACTTTCTTATGCATTAAGAATAACTTTATTATTTAGTACTTTAGTATCATATCTTTAACTCTAACAGGATTTAACAATCAGTTTTTATTGTATTATCTTCAAACTTTTACGATCCCTCAGAATTTAATACGAATTACTGTGCATATGTTTAAAGTGAAGTTGCAGAATTTAATTATTAATTATATCGTGTTATAATATTCTCGTAAATCCTTGTTTATCGAATGTCACTTCCGCAAATAAAATAGAATTACATATGTAACATGCGTAAGCACGTATCAATATAACAACGATGCAGCATCACACAGAGTTTTGTAAATTAAAATAACATGAAATTATGCTTAAATTATGCTAACACATAAAATATCCATTTTACATAAAATTACAATATCCACACCAAAGTTAATAGTCATTCAAATGCTAAATTTTGCAACATGCTGGTTTAAATCAAACATTACACGTATATCGGTGAATTTCGACCGCAATTTATCAAATTGAAACCAAACATGTTAATCCTATTGAACATCTTTATGAACTTCAAAGTTAATACATACATCATTGATTTTGAAACGTAACTGAAATAATATTTCATTGGAAGTTAATCATGAATGATATTGAATTGTTATGCAGGAATAAAAAAAAGTAATAATTTTATATTTTATTATTCATAATAAAAGCATTTCACGGTAAAGCTTTGTGTTTCGTATAATATTGACGCACAGTAATAAAGGCATCAATTGGAAAGTCTTCGTGTTGATGATGTCACTTTATAAAGGCATACCATACATTCCTTGTTGAACAAGAGCCATTTATTACGAAAATAATCGATAACCTATTGCATATTGAAATACCTTCTAATATTGACGATGGTAAACGTGATACTATCCAGGATTTCAGTGATCATTTTAATTATAATGCACACGTATATTCTTTTCACTATAACCACTGATAGTATTGTGCAATATTATTGTTACCTTAATATTATGTTCTATTTCTTTTCATATATTTAGAAAGATATGAATTTGTATAAATAAATATAAATAAAATAAATATATAAAATAAATAAATATAAATATCCAAGAGTCGAGTTATACATATAATATAGTATATGTATGCGATTATCTTACAATATTTAATTCTTCAGAATTATTTGATCATTAAACTATTAAACGAAGTTCGAAACGAATTAAAGTACAAGCTAAATTTCGTTAGTCTCCTGTCTCGATACGCTGCACCATTTTATCTCAGAATAGATGGTTGTCTCGAGGGATATGTAATTTCACGCGAGTCCGACACCCGTGTTTCTCCATATAGCGCCAATATCCCTTGAAAATTCTTAAAGTGAGAAATTTAACATCGTTTGATTCAGTTTTTTAATATAATTTTTAACAATGCGAGGATCGCAATAGATTATTCGTTACGTTAGTCCGAAATTGTTACTAAGATATCAACAAAGATTACTTCATAGACGCAAACGAAGTAAAAAAACCTTGTTTGTAATATCGTGCTTCCCTTCCATTGCAGCTAACGCATTTAAAGATCATCGTGTACCGCATATTTCAATTTGTCTTGACAGCCGTCTCCATATGGTAAAAAAAATATATAGCGTTCCACTAAAAAAATCGAAAATTGCCCTTAATTTTTGGAAAGATACTGTAAATATAAAAAATTGTTATGTACCGTTGCGTTGGTCATGCAAGTCGTACAACTTCTGCCATTTTCGAGGAAAACGCTGGACAATAATAACGCGAACACTCTGTGTATGATAAAAGAACTAAGAAATCATTACTGTTTGTCATGTATTAATTTACATAAATATTTTACGAAACAAGACGCATCCTTCCATGAATTGCATACGTTATTTCTCACGTGATATGAATTACGCATGACTGCAGTTTATTGTGCCATGGTCGAAATAAAATTAAAGCGCATTTTAACATGTGCCTGAACACATGCCAAACGTGAATTACGTTATACTTGCATATCAAATTATTTTAATCGCTAGTTCTTATCGCGAATTGTTGGTAATTCTGCTGGGTTGCATGAACGAAGAAATGACTCTGAAGGAAAATAAATTCAACAGCTGTTAATATTGGTATGAAACATTCATTACGGAGAAGCTAGGCAAAAAGCGATACAAAAATTTAATATGCAAAAATATTTGTCTCAAATATATAGGATGGCCCATAACTAATGATACAAAAAAGATTATTGGACGTGAAAAAATAAATCGAAAATATGGAATATAATTTTTTCGTATGACGATTTGTTTCTGAAAAAAAACGAGTTTGAAAATTTTTCAAGTACGCTTGAACTTGGCTATTTATTTGATTATTTCGCTATTTATTCGATTATTTGATCGAACTTTTTGTTCGACAATATTATTCAACAAATTATCATATTACCTTAATTTGCTATTTAGAGCAATATTTATTCAAAAAGTTATTTCTTCTTGGAAACTAAAGCTTTTAGTTTTAAATCTTCACCGTGGTATTCTGTGCAAAGGAAAATTTCCTGTTACAATGTCTACTTACTGTTTTCTCCACTCGGCTTTCTTCAGTATGAACGCAAATTAAGACAACCTTTTTATGTCTACCATTAATCATACTTACGTGTGACCATTCGACCTATCGTGCCTTAAGAAAGGAACTTGGAACTTTCTACATTAATACTCAGTCGTTTCCCGCGTAATTGTCTCCGTTTAACTAACAGGGAGATATCATGACCGGCTGCGGCGAATGCTTGCAACAAATGGAATATTGCGAGAGGTCTGCCGCTAATTAATTAGAAATCGTCCAAACGCTTGTGATGAATAGGCTGCGTAACAGCATCATTAAAGCTTCAGTAAATTTCGAATCAACTCCCTGTGGCGCGTAATTAGCTCGTTCGCAGATTTCTGTTCAGTAAAGATTAAATAATCTTTTAACGACCAATCCTACGTTATAGCCGGGTCACGAAGGTTTACACACACTTATCGAATTTTGTGAAACTAAACGAAATTTTGTTACGTTGTCGCAAAGCTATTTATCCATACTTATATATCAACGTAGTTATTATTAACGTTCCCAAAAGGTATTAAAAACGTTATTAATCATTTAAAGCACAAAAATATTGGGATGGAATTAGAAATTACAAAATCTTTAATTTTTTAACGTTATATAGATTATTGATGCTTAAATGGGTGGGTGCTACACCATATTAACGTAATACTACGCCTACTATTTTTATGGTTTTATGTCGATATAACGACATTTTGTAACATTGTATTTTATATTTTATTTATTTTATTTCTTTTCCCTTAATAATGGCGAAAGTGAATAAATAGTGTTAGATTTCAACAATATGTGTATTAACGTGCCAAAAAAATTCGTAGAGCTAACCTTTCCATTATAAAATTTTATATCTAAAAGCTGTATGTAGGCTTTTGTGACTGACTATATAACATGATATTCCTCGCTTAAGAATAAGTTTAAAGAGATCTAAGTTTCATCGACAGAATAAGTTTCAGCACTCTTGATGGCCATTGGAAGCTATATAGAACTCGCGTGTTAACAACCGCTAACGAACTGGAAAATTGTTTTTGTGAATATTAGCTGTAAGCTACTTGGTTCTATTATAATCCGTGCTAATTTTGCCATTGTATTCGCTTTAAGTCACGGGATTGGAAATGCTCCCCAAGCACGTGAACTCCAGTAATCTGTGTACAGCCGGACTTGGGAACACCTGTTCCGTTTCACTGCCGAAGCTAATTAGTCAATTAGCTATTCTACGAGTACTATGGATTCGATATCTGATATATCTTATCGCCGGGGTTGCTGCTACCAGGTGAAATTCGATGAATTTCAAAGCAGAAATTTACACCGATCAACTGCGAGATATTTTCTTAAAAAATAAACTGGATGGTACGAAGATGGCTGTTTCTGCAAGAAACAGTGAAAGCACACTTCGTTCCTTCATATTTGTAGTAATAGAATTTAAACGAAGTAGAATTAACAGAATAAGAGATAAAAAAATTTGCATTTCTAAAGATGAATGTATTTCTTGTAAATTTTAGTTATATTAGTTTGATATAAAACGTTAAAATGCCTGTTGATTGCATTTATCGGAAAATTCTAGGAAATTTTACTTTATTTAGTATATGCGATTATACGTCCGATGATAATGAAATAACGGATACGTATTATACGATAAAATAACTAGAAAATGAATGCAGTGAAGTACATTCCGATAGCATATTTTTACTTAGCAGGTTGAGATATTCTTTTAACTGCAGCTATAAATTTCTTCATGCACCAAATCTTGTTCCCCTTGTATATTATAAAATAATCGTCCCTAAAAATGATATATTTCGCTCTTACGAGTTTTATTTTTCGTATATCTGTGCATAATTGCGTGTCGCTCTTGAAACACGTCTATGCGTGCATACACATATACATACAAAACGATGTTTATTAATTTCGTTGAGGTCACGTTCTTTTTACAAGTACAAAGAGATTGCTAACAGCTTGCGACTGATTTATGTTCCAGCTGCGTGGGTGGTGACTTTCTAAAGGTGTTTCTACATTTAGAGACCAACGGTGTTTCCGAATACACCCCCTGGACTGGTGTACTCTGCGGCGATCTACATGACATCCCGCAGGTTTTATACAGTTCAAGATCTACGCTTATTTTAGAGCTTCACACACAGGGACCTCCATCTAATGCGACCGGCTTTTTTGGGAATTTCCAATTCATCAACAGACGTGAGTTATCGACACGAATATTAATTCAAGTAATTAATTGTTGCTAACGATCTGCGACAGGGGTCTAAAACACTTCTGGTACGCGTTTTGGAAGAAAACAGTGTTTAAGTTAAATTAAGTTACGCTATTCCACAAGTTTCAAATATCTAGCGTGCTTCTTGCGTTCAACATTGCATCGTCTTCTAACGAAATACCTGCAATCTGTGCGTACTAAAACGTTCGACAGAGTCTGTAGAACCATACTTTACTGTTAGTTCAACGGTAAAGATGATGTTTTATGTGGAGATGGATGCCTTGTGTTTCGAACACAAAAGAATAGGAATTATTAGAATGGGAAATTTATAATTGAAACTTTGTTTAAAGATCTTATCTACGAATGTACATGCATGAAAACATCTTGAATCGCATAGTATCGTTTAGTTGGTAATAATGTGTCAGTTAGAATCATTTGAACACTTCGTGCCTAAAATAGAATCTCGTAACAATTCAAAAAGATCGAAAGATGATAAATCGAAGAGAAAGGGAGATCATGTACGTGTTCTATCTTAGATCTCTTGCTCGTATAAATTGTTGCATAAACTGCTTAGCAACCTCTATTTTAACAATGATGATATTCACTTTTAGGTCAATGGATCAATATAAGATCTATATGCGGTGGCAAAAATCTAACGAAAACCTCTGCTAACATATTCTGTGACAATAACGTTTAATATACAATACAATCACACGCATTTCATTATATTTAATAATATATTTATCAATAATATTCTAGAAGATATATTTATCTTTTTCTTTCTACAATAAACCAATTTCTATGACAAATCCAACCGCTACATAACATATATAATAATGTAAAATATTTAACGAGGATGCATTCAAGATAAATAATTCTATTGGAAAAGTAAGTTTGTATCGACAAGAGGAATTTATAACAAGAATCGTGCAATAAAAGAGAAAGTTAATACGTGTTTCGATATGTACATGGTTATTCAAAGCCATTAGTTACGCCACTTAGCACATAGGTAATTGAAGCGGAAGATATTCAGCATTAGGATGAAAGATCTATAGTGCGAACCGCTTAAGCGCGAATTTACGGGAATAGTGAATGCTACGAAATCCCTTTAATGACAACCAAGTTTGCGCTACCAAAATTTAAACAACAGACAGTGAATAAAAGTTAGGTATAAAAGACGTAAAAAGATTTTTATATCTAGATCTTTGTTAATTTATAAACGAAACAAGTATTAGTAAAAAAAAAAGAAAGTAAATCATATCATAACAAATATAATGAGCATACGTCATTTTCACAGTATGCAAATGATTAGTACAGGTTGAATTTATTTTTGTACAAATAGGAAGAAATTTGACTACGATATATGCATTGAGAAAGGTATGAAAATATAATCAACACACCTAGATCACGTGGTAGTCTCAACTGACTGGATGCTGATTTCTTATTCTTCTTCTTCTTCTTCTTCTTCTGTCAATTTTTGACACCCCTTACACGCTAGCGTGCATGCTCTGCATATTTAAGTACTAGTGATGTACGTCTTCGACCTGATCTTACATACATATATGCATCAGATACATAAATTATTGAAAAAGGAAATAAGACTGAAAACTATTATTATGTTACGATAGATGACGTAAACGTTTGTAACTCCGAAATGTTTCATACACTAGATATTTGCCTCCTTAGACTGTCACCAGTTAAAGGATTTGAACCATTTATCTAGCTTAAATGTTTCGTAACTACTTCTGCAAGCATTTTCTGTTCATAAATCTTTGTCATTTCCACTACTAAAAACAATGCGCCATCCGAAAAAATTTAATGGCCAAATTCTTCTTAATTAATAAAGTGTTTGGGATAAAGAAATTACATTTGAGACAAAGAACTTCTACCGAGCTGAATTTTTTAAATTCAATGAGAGGTAGATCCGTAAATATTGAAATATTACTCTGTGATATTATTTATAAATATATGACTTTATTAGGGAAATCTAAATTTGTCAATTAGATCAATTTCATTCCTATATTTCATAATTATATTGCGGTCAAATATAAAATATACTATGACATTAAATATTTATTAAAATAAAATTATATGCGGAATGATTGTTTAATTATTGCTTCGTATGTTCAATCCGCAGGCTGAACTTTGCGCAATTTCCGTCCATTCTTCTTCTTTCCGGTATCTGCAACAGAATCATGTTATATGCGCTCGCGATTATCTACAAAAAACGACGGATTAAACCAGTCATGAATTAATATTATTAATTAGCAGTTGACACACAGAGATCCTAAATCTAATAAATTAGATTTTTATAACGATACGGTAGATTTTCATGAACATAACTAAAAAAATAGGGATTAAATAGAGATCTGTTTCATTCACTAAATTATGACAAATACTTTATTTTAAACGTTTCATATATTTCTCTATATCGTGCGTGTCCTATAACGTATATTTTTGTACCTTCAAATTTTCCATAGATTCATGAAAATCTGTAGTGCAAGAATGCAAATTTCACTTGAAAAACCGTTAATAGTCTAAAACTTTTGTTATCTTCAAAAAGATGTAAGAGAAGAATTCTTTAGGACTTTTTTATATATAGCCACGTTTTTATTATCCTCTTGGTTTCTTTTTGTATTTTTCCATTAACCGAAGAACGTGCCGCGTTTCTTATTCGCGGGCATCGCGAAACGTAGATGTACGGAAATTCCGATCGTAGATTTGCGAGCAGGTCCGGGACTAAATAGCAAATATTGTCTGTAGGCTTGATAAAATCGTGGTTCGTTAGTAAACGTTTCACGAATATGACGGCGAAGCATGCTTTAAACACGTTGGCTTGGGAATTTTTTATTTCGCTCACGTGTGTGCTAGCTTACGTGTGCCACATATAACAGTGGCATAATTCTTGCCGGCGGGAGGAGACTTTTCTCGGCCATTCCGAAATACGCGATTTTCTCATACGCTTGCTAACATTGTTCTTTTTTTATGTGCACAACGTGGAAAAGAAGCGAAACTTCGGTGCTTTCCAAAAACTCACGTGATTTGCATAAAGTGAGACATCTGTATCGAATTGTTTCGTTTTCCTACTTCTACAACTCCTAGATTCGTCGACATATTTATAAATATAATTCGTAACATTTATTTAGTTTATCTCCTTCTTTAACCATACCATAATATCTCAATTACGAAACTTTACAAAAGGTACATTTAATCTCTTGAACGATATCTATAGTTCCAAAATAAATCAATCACGATGCGATATAATCTACATCGAGCGATTCAAGAAATTATTTAATTATCTGGGAAATTTAACAACGTTTAACATTTCAATGAAAGAAAACGCGTGTTGAAGGTACAGTGCAAGAAATGGCGAGAACCTTCGTATCACTGCACTATAAGGTCAAACATTGTGATGAATAATTCATCCCCAGATTGAACATAACTTGGCGTTCTAAAACGAACAGTTGCTCGCATACGTTCGTTACTATACGCTCCAATTTCTCCGGACGATTGTCATCAGCGTTTTTCAAAGAGGTGTATTATGCTTATGTTCAATAGACGACCGCGACTGTCGCCGAACATTGACTATCTCACAGCAATCGTTCAGCTTATGTACGACTCACAAATATGTATTCTGTTTTCTCATAAATGTGTATTCGAAATGTATGAATTATTGCATCTCGATTATCGTTTACTGTATTTAAGAATGAAAGAAGGTTAATTCGACGTTTTATCGAGATGTCTGAGAAAATTTTTGTACAAAACACAAAATATATATATCTATCAAGAGATAAATATATATATGTATTTTCAAAGCTAAGTGTACCTCTATTTTTCGTCATTTCCTCTGTCAATTTTACTTCTTTTTCAAAACATATATTTTTGTTATACTACAATATCCTCAAAGAACCATAGAATTCGCGCATTGGTGAAAAAAAACTTCGTTTCGCACAAAATTTTTCATTTCGTTGACAAAAGAGTTTCACTTCTGCTACATACCGTGTTCAATTTACTTTTATGCGTTGCAAATGTTTCAAAATGGAGCTAATTTCTTTTGTAACTTAGAGAACAACATTTTATCTTCTCAGATGCGAACATTCTGTCCGAAACAGAATGTCTGCCAGTAATAGATACCTTTTAGTGTTATAAATAAGATTATCGCACGAGGTATTTCAAAATTTAGTAAAATTTCTATTTCCCTAGCATATGTACTATTTGTCATTCATTTATACCGCTTTGTCACAAAATATTTTTCTAATACGTTTCCTATCTACTCTAGTAAACATCGTACATCGTAACATTTGCACATATTCCCACTGACATACATAGGCGCGCGCGCACACACACACATACAATCTAACCATCTTTTCCTCTTAACACTTTGTGTGTTTTCACATACCTAAGCTTTTGGTGCTTTTCAATCCTATGGTACGCCACTACGTCGTCCACTCGGAACAGATTTCGGGTCAAAGTTAATCCGAGCTGGACGAAATTCATCCAGGATTCGGCCAAGCATAATGGAAGTCGATAACCAAAGAGATTAGTTAGACCAAAGATTAGACGACAGATAGGAAAATCGGTGTTCGGTGGCTGGCTTATCGTAAACCGTGTTATCAAAGCAACCTAACATATAATGCTTCACGCGAAGGAGCCGCTTGATCCCACGGCTAACTCGATCGATATTCAATTTCCTCGGCTCGATCGCCGTTACATCGAGATACTTTATCACTGTGAGTCCCCTCGCGATCGTTGATTACTAACCACCCACGGAGCCAACGATGATATTTCACTGGCATAGTTTGCGCTAAAAGGATCGCGGAACAAAGACCTTGACAGAGCTGGAAGAAAAATGCACCGGATTTGTCGTAATGCGTGAAGAACGTCACGAATCCATTTCGTTCGATCCATCATCCGAGACGAACCCGTCACCAAAGAATGTGCACTACTGCAACGATGCACCGCAGATTCACACAAGAAGAAAAACGAA